AACGTATTTTTGAATTTTTGTTTATAAGAAAAAGAACAAAGATTGATTTTTGTAAATGTGAGAAAACATTGTAGCTAGAGTGCACTCACCTTATGATCCCCACTTCTTACTTTGGATTGATTTACAATACTCCTTTATATAATTACTCAGATAAATTATTATCTAAAACCATTAATAGTTAACCCTCAATTTCTTGCAAGGTTAACCCTTAATCCCAATTGAAACCCCAATTTCTTGCAATGTTTCTCATGGCATTAAGCAATGAACCCAATGATTTAAGCATCTGCAATTAAATATACATATATTCCTAGCATGCATATAAATTGTTATCTTACCCTCTTTCAAGACTAAAACCCTAATATTCTTATCTAGGGTTCTAACCATCAAACTATCCTCAACTATTAAATTGATCAATTCCAATAAAAAAGATATAATTACGCACAAGGTAAAGATAAAGATAATTATATAAACGAAAAACCATAAATCAATCCGTCGTAACAAGGGTTCACATAGGGTTTGTGACCCCAACTACAAAAAAAAGAACTAGCCAATCTTTGTCATGACTGACATAGCAATATTCAACATCAACAAGAAAATAGAATGGAAGAACAAAGATGAATGAGAAGATCTCTCGGAAGCTCTCTCTGAAGCACGACGGTTCTCTGGTATCAGAATAGAATTCCCCTCGTTCACGTTCTGTAAAAGGCATCCTATTTATACGCCTTTTTTCCTTCTTCCAAAAATGCCCTCGGACAGCACGAAGTATCTTTCCCGCAACCCGGCGCCATCCAGCTCAGTGCCTTTGTCCAAATTGAAAAAGTCGAACATCATTCTTCGTAAAACGGCGCCATTTTGACGCAACTCAGCGCTGTGCCACTTCGCGAAGTTTTCCCCAAAACTGGCGCCACTAGGCGCCATTACGGCGCTAGTCGGCGCCGCTTGCATAAGACCGGTTTGGACTCGGAAACCGGCGCCGTTGTGGCGCCACTGGGTGCCGCTTCTCTGTGATGGATTTCTTCAAGTATCCGGCGCTACTTGGCGCCAGTTAGCGCCACTTACAAGTTACCATTGTGCAGTTCGTAAACTGGCGCGAGTTTGTGCCAGTGTGGCGCCATTCCGCGCCATGTTGCTGGAATTTGTACCGTGCTACACCCGTGTGGAGTTGCGTCAACAGGCTTTTTATAATTTTATAATTTTCACTTCTTTTACTTGTATAAACACAACCAATAGGTGAGAAATGTCATTGACATAGATAAAATCAATATAGTAAGCAAAAAATGTATATAAATTTCTCTTTTATGACTCAATTCTTATCAATTTCAGCTTGGAAAACTACCTTTGCCAGAGGCACATCACTCATCATTGACTTTATACGCTCTGACCCTTTCTATTCCCATAATTTCTTCCAGATTGTAGTATTCTGGGAGTTTGGGAATTGCAGTATTTATTCCTTTACTCCTTTTTTATAGTTTATCTCATTCACGCCCAAATTAGGCGTGACTATTCACGCCCAAATTAGGCGTGACTCCCAAGGCATTCACGCCTAAATTAGGCGTGACTCGTCTGGTGTTGACACGTGGCACAAAAAATTAATAGTTTAACTGTAAAACTTTATAAGGCCATAACTTTTGACTCGGGTATCCGAATGAGATAATTCTTTTTTTGATTCCACATAACTTTTCGAGATCTACGCAATGATATCTCATTTGATATATTTTGTCTCTCACAAACAAAATTTAAATTTACAACAATGATACTATACAGATGGCACCAAAGTGGATTAACTCATCTATAAATAAGATGACACCAAATTTCCTATTAAATACAAAACGCAATCAGCTCCTATTAAATTCAAAATGCAATCAACTCATATTAAATACAAAACGCAATCAACTTCTATAACATTAAATTCAAAATTCAAATAACCTCAAGCAAATTTATTTGAATTAGCGACAATCTGTAACCAACTCATAAAATTATAACACAATCAGCTCCTATTAAATACAAAACACAATCAACTCCTATTAAATACAAAATGCAATCAACTTATTTGAGGTTTTTTGAATTTTGAATTTAATGTTATAGTACCATTATTGGGCGTGAATGAGTGCAATATATTCGTAATTAGGTTCAAAACGGCAACTTATTCGTAATTAATTATTAAAATATATACAAATTTATATAATATTCTACCAAGTGTTTAGAATATTTATTAAATTATTTTCTTTATTAATACAGATTTTTCAAAATGATTTTTGGGCAAAAAAATTTATTTATTGTAATTTAATTAAATAATTATGCAAATATGACAGTTTGAGCAATATTTACGCATCTATTGCACAGTGTGACGCCCTGTGACGCTCCATTGGGGCGTCTCTTATGAAGGGGAAGATGCCCAAATGAGGCGTCTCTCATGAGGTGGTGACACGTGTCACTTGTTTTTCAAAAAAAAAATTAATTTAATCATAAAACTTCTAAAGGCCATAACTTTTGACTCGAGTATTCCAATCAGGTAATTCTTTTTTGGATTCCACATAACTTTTCGAGATCTACGCAATGACATCTCATTTGATATATTTTATTTCTCACCAACATAATTTAAATTTAAATCAGCTAATCCTTCTTCCTTAGATATTTAGAATATTTATTTAATTATTTCCTTTATTAATACAAATTTTTCAAATTGATTTTTGAGTTTAAATCACAAATCAAATATTTATTTTGTTTTTCTTATTAATAATAATTGTTACTTTTAATTTAAATCACAAACTAAATTTTTTATCATAAAAATAAAAATAAAAATATTATTTTTAATTTAAATCACACATCAAATATTGATTTATTTTTTATATTAAATCACAAACGCAGAACTCAGAGGCTTCTGGGTTTAAAATTGTGACACGTGTCAACACTTGTCAAAACCTAACACATCACCAATCACGTCTAAATTGGGTTTCAATCAAGAGGAAATCACGCCTAATTTAGGTAATTTTAATTTTGAAAAATATTCATAAGCCATCATTAATTTCAGACCATGAATAATAACCCAGAAGCTTATAGCATTAATCATTAATTTTAAAAATAATATCCTTCTTCCTTAGAAATTTAAAATATTTATTTAATTATTTTCTTTATTTTTACAGATTTTTCAAATTGATTTTTTAGTTTAAATCACAAATCAAATCTTTATTTTGTTTTCCTTATTAATAATAATTTTTTTTATTTTGAATTTAAATCACAAACCAAAATTTTGTTATAATAAAGAAAATTATTATAAAAAAAATTTAAATCACAAATCAAAATTTTTATTTATTTTTTATATTAAATCACAAATCCAGAACTCAGAGGCTTCTGTGTTTAACCGCTCTTATAATACCATTCTTGCAAATTCAAATTGTGTTTGTGAGAAATAAAATATGTCAAATGAGATGTCATTGCGTAGATCTCGAAAATTTATGTGGAATCAAAAAAAGAATTACCTGATTTGGATACTCGAGTCAAAAGTTATGGCCTTTAGAAGTTTTATGATTAAATTAATTTTTTTTTTAGAAAAAACAAGTGACTCATGTCACCACCTCATAAGAGACGCCCCATTTAGGCGTCTTCCCCTTCATGAGAGATGCCCCAGTAATAGATGCGTAAATATTTCTCAAACTGTGATATTTGCGTAATTATTTAATTAAATTGCAATAAATAAATTTTTTTGCCACACAAAAACAAAACAGAGAAATAAATAAAGAAAAGAAGAAACAGAAAACTTCATTAATCATATTCATATTATCATCATAAATAATTCATTAATAAATTCTAGTAACTGATCATCCCAAGTTAAGGTGGGATTAACCTAACCAATATTGTAAATATATCTTGAACTTCAATTACTCCTTAAAATCGGGTTTTTTAGTTTAATTCCCCACCAATAATGAATGACACAAACTATTTTCACATTCACCAAGAGCACCGCCCCCTCACCCTTCTTTTAAAGCAATAATATAAAATGAGGATAATTCTATGATCTCTGTCTTTTTCTCACTTTCTCTCGTGAGTGTTCATCAACCGATCCAAATCGCAGTAATCAAATTGAAAAACCGATAATCAAAATAATCAAAAATAAAAAAAACTCACAAATATTAACTGGATTGGATCGATTTTTGATTTGGGTGTTGAAAATCAATTCGATCCAAACTTATTTTCTACCAAATTGGACCTATCCCAAATAATAGCCCAAAATCATAAATCCAACCATTAGCCCATTAACTTTGAATTGAAACACAAAAAAATTCTAAACCTAATCCAAAAATATGGAAAAAGATGCATCCGTGGGTCTTGCCATCTTCGTCTTGCTTTCTTAGGGCTCGTTTGGATGTGCTTTTTTTCTTCAAAAGCTACTTTTTTTGAAAAAAAAAAGCACTTCTCGTTTTTAGTTCGTTTGGATGTTCGCTTTTAAAAAAAACAGAAATAACAAAAAAAGTCAAAAATTAACTTTTTTCAGAAGCTAAAAATTTTAACTTCTAAGAAAAACAAAAGTCAAAAGTCAAATATTTTTTTCAAAAACTAAATATTTTTATAAAAATATAAATAGCTTTAACTTTTATAAAAAATAATTATAAAATAAGAAAGTGATAAAAGTTAATTTTTTTTTTTTAAGTACAAAGAAATGAGCTCTTAGTCTCGCACTCTTTTTTTTTTTTTTGATAACATTAAGGGGCGAAGCGCCAAACAAAAACAAACTAATAACCAGAAACAAAAAATAACTATCAGGGTCTATATCCCTACAAGAGGAGATTCCCTGAGGATCGTGATCACTGAGCAAGGTGAAAGGGCATAACTCTATGACTCCAGAATCCAATATCTTTGTGAAGAGCAGACTTGACTAACCAATCAGCACAGGAATTAGCATCTTTGTGAAGAGCAGACTTGGCTAACCAATCAGCACAGAAATTAACTTCTCTTATAATATGAGAAAGCGTTGCCTAACCGATGAGTGCTTGTCTTAGCCACCTCACTCACAGTCGCTCACAGGCTCACCTCGCTCACGGCTCACAGTCTCACAGTCGCTCCCGGCTCACCTCTCTCAGTCTCTCACTCTTCTCCAAGGTAAGACCTTTCTCTACACCCACTTCACCTTTTTCCTCAGAAATCTTAGAACAGAGCATAATTATCATATATTCTGACGTGGTGTTCTAGAAGTTTCCCTAAATTCCCCGTCTTTTTGTTTTTTGATGTTGGTTTCTGTCTGCTTCATATAGATCCATTAGCTTCCCATGTGTACGGGGATGTGACTTGCTTTGAATTTCGAATCCTTATAAGTTTGTAAATTTCGAATCTTTTAATGTGGGAGTATTGAATTTTGATTTTGGAATTGCTCTAACGCTGTTCTGATGTGTTTGCTATGTGATGCTGGATGTGGACCGTTGATCCGTGTACTAAGTCATGGTCAGTCAGTTTCCTAGATTTAACGATGTTGAGACTGTTTGCTTTTAGTTACTCCTCAAGGGTGTGTATCATATTTGACATTAAGGAGTTATCAGAAAATAATATTGGTTCATCTGTGAGATTTGTTTTCAGATTGGTTGCTGGGAAAGAGGCCTAGAAATTGACTGCATATCATTTTTTTAAAACCCGTGTGCAGATCTTGCAAAAGGGGACTTAAAAAGCTGAACCCAATAACAAATTAAGCCTTCAAAATTTTGGTAGTGAGTAAAAGTCGAAGCTGACAAGGATTATATTGTATTTTCTGTCTTCTTGTTTGCTTGTATTTTTTATGTATGAGTGCCTTCGAGTTGTTTCATACTTAATCCTATGCTATTTTAAGGCTTGGGTTCTAGATGCTACCCCTGGAAAAGTTCGAGTAGGTTGAGATGCAGAGGACCACCCAGCAGAACTCATTTTTTTTCTAAGTACACTGCAAAAGGAGGCAGATTTGGAAAATGAATGTAACAATGATGTTAATTTGATTTAATTTGTGTAGAAGAATTCATTACTTTTTTTATTAGAATATCGATCAAGTATTTTTTTTTATTAGTGATTTTGGAAGACTTATTACTACGATATTGCCAAAAATTTCTGCTACTACCAATACAAAGGATCCATGACAAATAATACTCCTCATTTTTTCTAAAAATAATTCATATAAGTTCTGTTTTTTTTGGCTTTTCAAAAAATCAAAAACCGATCCAATCCAAACTGAAAAAAATTGGATTGGATCGGATTTGAAAAAAATTCAAACTGATCGGATGATTAAATAATCAAATCGAAGGAATTGGATCGGATGATTTTTTGCTTCAAAACCGATCCAATCCAGACCGCGAACACCCCTACTCTCTCTCTCCTCATTTTCCTCTCCCTTTCCCTCTTCTCCTTTCTCCTTCTTCTTCAATCTCTTTCTCATCGAAGTTTCGAAAATAGCATGCTTGTTCTTCCTATATTGACTTGTGGTGACCTCGCAGCAAGACCCACTTCTGGATCTTCTGGTAAGGTTCCCCTGATGAAATAAAATTGTTGCCTTTTTCACTCTTCAGTTCCTTCTTGCTAGTTTATTGGTCAATACAAATTTTGGGCTTCTTTTTTTTTTTGTTTTTTTGTTTTGTGTGTTTTTCTTTTCTTTTATGCATGTGCATGTTGTTTTTTGTGTGTGTTGGTGCTGGTTCCATTAACCTGTTGATCTGTTAAGTTTTAATCTTTTTCTTAGCTTTATGATCTTCAGTTGAATTTGAATTTTTATTTTTATTTTTATGTTCTTAAGTTGGTGTTGCTATTTATGGTCTTATGGGGTCTCTGAGTGATTGTTTTTGGTCTTAGATATTCTGTTCGTAGCTGGCTTGATTGTTTCTTCATCAGTTTTGCTTGTATTCTTGTGAAGTTTTTTTCTGAAACCTGCCTTTTTTTATCTCTCAGCCGCCACCTGTTTGATGATGGGTCGATGAGCCATTTTTTTTTTTAAATCATCATTGAAGCATGCTCTGTGCCTACGGTGCTTGTATTTTCATTTTTTATTTTGGGTGATTTAGATCTGTTATTGCTCTGATCTAGTTAGTGTATTGATGGATTAGAGTTTCAGACAAAAGCAGAGAATTTTATGATTTCATATAGTGATTACTCTATTTTAGATTATTTTTTTAATCCACTTTTTGACTTTTTAGCCTATATCCAATATATGAGAATGAAAGAAGTATCTGCTGGTGAAAACTGGATGGCTATTGAATCTCATATAAGATATTGGCGCAGATTTGATGCTTTTGGTATTCACTTCATCTGGAAAGTATTGTTTGACCTCTTTACCGTCTAAATTGTTCTCTGTTTTTTTGCCTTTGCCAGGTGTATAGGCCTTTAATATCTTGACGATTTATTGACTAGAGTTGGTTTATAGTGCTGAAGGAGCGTAAAATTTGAAACCAGTTTTTTACTCACTCAATCTCAAGCTTACCGGTTAAATCCATTTCTTCTGAAAATTTAGGCCATCTTTGGGGGTATTTTTTCTTGGGAAAAGATGATGATGTTTGATGACATGGGGTTCTGTGGCGATTTGGATATGTTATGTGGTCCACTCGGGGAAGGAGATATTTCTGCCAGGCAAACTGAACCCGATGCAGGAGTTGATGATGATTACAGTGATGAAGAAATTGATGTGGATGAGCTTGAGAGGAGGATGTGGAGGGACAAAATGCGTCTCAAGCGATTGAAAGAACAAACTAAGGCTAAGGAAGGAATTGATGCAGCAAAGCAAAGGCAATCCCAAGAACAGGCAAGGAGGAAGAAGATGTCAAGAGCTCAGGATGGAATACTGAAATACATGCTGAAGATGATGGAGGTTTGTAAGGCGCAAGGATTTGTTTATGGGATAATTCCTGAGAAGGGAAAACCAGTGACTGGGGCATCTGACAACCTTCGTGAATGGTGGAAGGATAAGGTTAGGTTTGATCGCAATGGTCCAGCTGCCATAGCCAAGTATCAAGCGGATAATGCAATCCCTGGTAAGAATGATGGATGCAATTCGATTGGTCCAACTCTGCACACCTTGCAAGAGTTACAGGACACAACCTTGGGTTCTCTCTTGTCAGCACTGTGATCCCCCTCAGAGACGGTTCCCATTAGAGAAGGGTGTTCCTCCACCATGGTGGCCGACCGGGAATGAAGAATGGTGGCCTCAAATTGGTTTACCTAAAGATCAAGGCCCTCCACCTTACAAGAAACCTCATGACCTGAAGAAGGCATGGAAGGTTGGTGTTCTAACTGCAGTTATCAAGCATATGTCTCCTGATATTGTCAAGATTCGCAAGCTTGTGAGGCAGTCCAAATGCCTTCAAGATAAAATGACAGCCAAGGAAAGTGCAACCTGGCTTGCCATCATCAGTCAAGAGGAGTCCTTGGCTCAAGAGCTTTATCCTGAGTATTGCCCCCCATTGTCCTCTGCTGGAGGCAGTGGGTCATTGGTCATCAATGATTGCAATGAGTATGATGTTGAAGGGGCTGAAGATGAGCCAAACTTTGATGTGGAAGACAGGAAACCCGAGAATCTTCATCCATCCAATCTTGGGATGGAGAGAATGAGGGGAAGGCTTCCAGTTCAGCAACCATCTCATCCAATCAAGGGAGAGGTTGTTACAAACTTGGATTTTATTAGGAAGAGGAAGATCTCAAGTGAGTTTAGCATGATGATGGATCAGAAAATTTACACACGTGAACATCCTCAGTGCCCTTACAGTGAAGTTCGCCTTGGTTTTCAAGACAGGTCTTATAGGGACAATCATCAATTGAATTGTTCGTATAGAAGTAGTTCTGCAGATTATGGTGTTCTCAATTTTCATGCTACTGAGGTTAAGCCAGTAATATTCCCCCAGTCGTTTACTACATCTCGTCTGAGTAGCGAAGCTTTGCTAACAAAAGTAAGTTTTTAGCAAAAGTTTTTAATACCAGTTATCTATACGTTTAAACTACAGTGCTACATTAGGAATATGTTAAAGTCTAGCGTATATTAGTGACTTAGAAAATTGTTATAGTGACTTAAGAATTTTGTAGTGACTTAGGTATTATTATTATTTAATTACGAATCAATTAGTGAACCAGGTATTATTATTATTTAATTACGAATTAATTAGTGACCTAGGTATTACTATTAATTAATAATGAATTAATATACTTGATTATAAAATTATTAGGAACATGATGTGATAATTTGTATGAATTAATTACTTACGAATGAATTAATGACCTATGCATGATAATATTATGTAGTTACGAATGAATTAGTGATTTAGGGTTTTTGCGTAATAATTTTGATAGTAAATTAGAGAATCAAAAGTAAAAAAGATTGGCATTATTTTGCAGTTAGAGAGCTCTAACAATGCATTAGAAGATATTTAAAAAAGATAAAAGGACAGAAAAAAAGAATGTTATAATAATAACTTGATTTGCTAAGGATGAAAAAAAAAATCCGATGTCAGTTTCGGCTTCAGTACAGGAAGAATATGTAAAAAACGTTGACCTTGTTAACATTCCAACGAAGTGCTTTTAAGAGAACTTATGTGACAATTTTGATATTTGATAGATGGCATATATATATATACTTGGCTGAAAAAAGAGACAAATAGACATAAGAAAACAAGAATTCGGGATTGAGACCAGTTACCACCAATAATCATCAACTGTAGAATCATAAGAACCAACATCAAATCCACACACACACATTTCGGTCTTTCTTTCATTTTATTCATTTACTTTCTCTCGTCTCATTCTACATAGAAGGAGAACAAACAAACTGTCTCGGCAAAATAAAAAGATCTTTCCCTTCAAATGGAGAACTCCACTCCCTGTCTTAATTCTCAGGATCACCCTCACAAGTAACTATCACTCGTTCAACTTCCTATTTTGAGCAACCATACCTAGTTTCCATGTCTTCAATCCGAGCAAGTTTTTCTGATATGTCAATTTTCAAATTGCTCCTACCCATGTTTTTATCCTTGTGACTGACTATCTGCTTCTTCACCACCTTCAATAATAATTTTTAAGCTAAATTTTTTGTATTATTATAATTTTTTTTAATTTTTTTTAACTTCAACTTAAAATTAACTTTTAACTTAAAAAAAAATCAAATAGACTCTAAATCAGGAAAGTAGATCCTGGTTAACGAAGAAAGAGATATCATCAAAATTTCACATCAAAGATTCATTTTTCTAAATCACATAGTTGAATCAGGATTGAAGTTTTTGGATGACGTATACGATCGAGATTTAATCTCGTCGTTCTCTACTTTGCTTGAATTGAATGAATTTGGGAACCATGGCCTCATCACAGCAGAGAGAAAGAGAGAGAGTGAGAGAGTATCAATGGCGGAATCTGTTTCCGGTTCATCATCCTCTCATAAACCCCCAAACACCATGGATCCTCAAAGTCAAAGTCAAATTCAAAATCCCCAAAATCCATCATCTTCAAACCCTACAATCCAATCGCCTATGGATTCACCCTTAATTAATATTGTTTTATCCGAGCAAGTTCTTCTGATATGTCAATTTTCAAATTGCGGCTCTTTCATCCATTGGATTTTTTTTTTTGTTTAATTTATCAATTTGGTATTGGGTTTATGTTATTTATCAATAGGGATTATTTAGTGACGCAACCTGTGAATAGTTTTAATACATTCGTAAGTAATGAATGCGTATTGATTACTTATGAATGAATTAATGACCTATGCATGATAATATTATGTAGTTATGAATGAAATAGTGATTTAGGTCTTTTGCTTAATAATTTTGATAGTGAATTAAAAATTTGCTTAATTAATTTTTAAATAAATATTACTGTCACATGTGGTAAGTTGTTGTTTTGTAAATTATTTTCAATGTTGTATTACATTTGTATACATAATTTTATTATAAATTAATGGTGACAATAAATTCTCAACTTTGTATAATTTTTTATCATGCTGATTCATCATTATACGCGGTTCTACAAATCTTTTTTTATTACAAAACGCTTTTTTAAAAAGAGCACCGATGAAATCGTGATGACGGTTTTGGATTCGGTTAAAAAAGGCAGAGGATGGTTTGAGGGAACAGTGACGAAAGTGTCACTATTTACCAACTTTTTTACCTAAATGTCACGTCAACAGTCGCTACCCCGTGTAGCGAACTTGGTGTTCACTAGAAACGTGACACGTCAGCAAGTCGAGTTCGCTACACCGGGTAGCGAACTCGCCCCCGTGGCAGATTGAGAAATAAGACTGTTCACGTGGCATTTAGGTAAAAAAATTGATAAACAGTGACATTTTAGTTACTGTTCGTGATTTGAGTTGGTGTAGCTCCCGTGGCCCATTGTCCCTACCTTTTTTTGTAAATTCGAAAGGTCGATTCCTTCCTATGTTAATATTGAGATTTTATATTCATTTGCATTAATGGTTAAACATTTGTATTCATGGCCAAACATCCATAAGGCTGTTGCCTCACATAAATAATAATATAAAAAAATAGAGAATCAAAAGTCAAAACTTCCCATTTTTCCATTTTCTTTGGATATTTAGAATCAAAACTTCACTTTCTCTTCTTTGTAATTATTGCACGAATCCGTTAATTTGTGCCATTTAAAGTTATCATTTGAATTCTATTATAACTATGACATTTTGATTCTATTAACATTGATATCATCTTTATCCTATATTAATTGAATATAAAATATTAATAATATTAATTAATAAATAAACTATTAAGAGCATGTTTGGTGAATATTTTAGTGGAAATATGATTTGATAAGGTATCATATTGGCTCTTATTCATTGTTTGTTGAAGAAAAAATATATAATAAAATTATTCTATTGGCTATTTATAAGAACTTTTTATTTCAAACCTAAGGCTATGTCTTCTTAAGCTTCTTTTTTTTTAAAAAAAAAAAGTATAAAAATATATTTTTAGAAAATAATATGAAATTATAATACAAAGGTTAATGTTATCTAGTTTCTTTCTTTCAAATAACATAATCAAATTATATTACTTATATAATGTACATCAAATGCAAGATATAATATGGTTTTATCATACCCTTGTTATTTTTTATCACTAACCTATCCTTTCTTGTTGGCCATCAAAATTCAAATTATTGCTAAATTATAAACTGCAATTACAAATATCTTTAATTAAAAATAAAATTTTACGATATTTTATTTGTTTTAAGTTTAAATAGCGTATGTGTATGCATTTTTTATAACCTAGCTCTACGCACCATTATCGTATACACATATAGAGAGAGAGCACAATTGTAGTGCCAGAGGAGTGGAGTTTTATCACGAGGGGGGTTTCATTGAGACATTGACCATTGTGCCACTCCTTTAATGAAAATTTACCTTATTGCCACGTCTAGAATTTTTTTTTGCTAAAATGCCACCTCACAATCTCGCTGGTCTGACAAACGAGAATGAACTAGACACGTGTCAGCATCTGAATGGTTAACCATTCTCGCTGGGTTGCCCAGCTAGAATGACAGAATGCTGACACGTGACAAAAGTACAAACATCTAGAGAATGCATGTACTTTTGCCACGTGTCAGCATTCTGTCATTCTAGCTAGGCAGCCCAGCGAGAATGGTTGACCATTCAGACGCTGACACGTGTCCAGTCCATTCCCGCTTGTCAGACCAACGGGATTGTGACGTGGCATTTTGGCAAAAAAAATTTCAGGCGTGGCAATCAGGTAAAATTTTGCCCAAAAAGTGACAAGATGGTCATTGTCCCGGTTTCAATAGGAGATGGAAACAGTGAGAGGAATTTGAAACATTCGAAGAGAATAAATTTTTGGGAAAATTATTTTTATACTTTTTTGTTCCCATTAGAGACCATATCTGCATACAAGTGAATATGAATAGTGTTAACAATATTTGTAAACTAATGAAAATATAAACCACCTAAAAAAGACTAATGAAAATATAGGGTAAGAACTAATCATATTTAAACACTAATAATAATAATAACAACAACATAATGAGAAAGGGGTACACAACAAAATGCACGAGTGAGGCTGATTTGCTATTGCAATAGATGCGTGAGCCTTCTGAATTGTTTGTTACACGCGACCTCGAGGTGCGCTTGGGAATTGGGTGGTTGTGACGATTGCGGTTTTGTTCGTGCGTGCTTTTATCGACATTGTTGATTGGCGCAAAGGGTATAAGATTAATGGGAAAATATTGAGTTCGAGGATATCTCTCTGTCACTCTTGTCAATGCGTTAGGCAAAACTGATAAATAATCCCTTTTGTCAGAGGCATTAACCGTATTCTTATAAATATTCCTCTTTCGTCAGAGACATAAACCAAATTCATTTTTGAGTAAACACCATTTTTGATCTCTAACAAAAAAATACGGTCTCCACTTTAGTCCCTTATAAAAAATAAATTAGTTAGTTAGTCCCTAACAAATTCAAAGTGGATCCATTTTAGTCCTTTTGATGGACTAATATGGGTCTTTTTTGAATTTGTGAGGGACCACGATTTCAACTAAATGGGTCAACTTTGAATTTGTTAGGGACTAACTGACTAATTTATTTTTCTAAGGAACTAAAGTAGGAACCGTGTTTTTTGTTAGGGACCAAAAGGGTATTTACTCTTCATTTTTTTCCCAATGGAAAGTTAATCATTCTTTGGAATGAACTTCACTTCCCCATATGTCACCAATTTCCTCTCATTATTTTTCAAAGATATTCCTATTATGGATAATTTTTCTGAGTGATAAGGGTTTTAACTGCATTATCTTTGGTTCATGAATGACTTCAGGAGCAATTGTTTTGCCGTAATTGAAATACGGTTTTGTTATAATGACATAGGAATTTTGTAGTGAGTTATGAATGCTGTAGTGACTTAGATATTATTATTACTATTTAATTATGAATTAATTAGTGAGCTAGGTATTATTATTAAGTAATAATGAATTAATATACTTGATTATAAAATTGTTAGGAACACGATGTGATAATTTGTATGAATTAATTACTTACGAATGAATTAATGACCTATGCATGATAATATTATGCAGTTACAAATAAATTAGTAATTTAGGGTTTTTGCTTAATAATTTTGATAGTGAATTTGGAATTTGCTTAATTA